TTAGGTAATTGAATTATTTTTAATTCCTATAAATAGTCCAGTTCTCCACCATTTTCACCACACCAATTCAGCAATTCTCTTATCATACTCTCTCAATCTCTCATACTCTCATACTCTCAATACTCTCTATACTCTCCAATTCTCAAGTCTCAACTTTTTTCAAGTTTTAACAAGAAGTCTTGCTCAATTATCTTAAGTTAGCAATTTGGGAGGCTTGGAAGCTTTTATCGTTGAGAGATTCTGAATTGACAATCCGAATAAGTGAAATTAAATTAATTTTTTTTTAAATTAAAAAAATGGTTGGTTCCTCCCAAAATCAATTCTCCAACATATTCAATGCCAACAATATTCAGTCGCAACATGATAGCGTTAACATTGATATGGATGCTACTGAAATTGCTGGAGCTCCCATCCCTAGTACTAGTATTGTTGCTGGGGGTAGGAAAAAGAAGGAAACTAAATTGACTAATCCAGTTTGAAACTATTTAAAATAGAGGAGGTTGAGGGGAAGGGAAAAAGGGTTGTTTGCCAAAAATGTAGGAGTAACTTTAGTTATTGTAGCAAGGGTGGCATTGACCACTTAGGTAGACATTTGCTCACCCATGAGAAACAAGAAGAATAAGAAGGGAAAGAAAAATCCCAAACACAAATTAGGAGGAGGGTTTTGGTACTTTTAAATATTCACACGAAAAAATGAGGCAAGAATTGTCAAAATATATTATACATTCTGAACAACCATTTTTGTTAGCTGAGGATAGTAAACTTGAAAAATTTTTACATAATTCTGTAAATCCTCAATTTAAAAAAGTTTCTAGAAATACTATTAGAGAAGATGCTTTGAAATTTTTTTATTCATATAAACAAAATTTAATTTCTGTTTTATCAAATCTTAATTCTAGCTAGAGTTGTAGTTACTTCTGATATTTGGACCTCTAAATTAAATATAAGTTATATTTGTGTCACCGGTCATTTTATTGATGAAAACTAGCTTTTACAAAAAAAAAAAAATAATTTTAGTTACTAGGCTTGAGCAGCTATATATTGGCCTAACTATTGCTGCAAATATTTTAAATACTTTAATGTTTATGGAATTGACAATAAATTTTTTTCTATTCGTTTTGATAATGCCAACAATAATGATTCAACAATAAATATTTTAAAATTTCAATTAAACCTCATTTTAATGGTAAATTATTCCATATTAGATGTGCATGTCACATCTTAAATTTATGTTTTCAAGATGCTTTAAATATTATTTCTCATTATATTTCTATATTAAAGGTTCTAGAGCAAGAAAACAAGAATTTAAATATTTATGTCATAATTATGGTTTAAAATCTAAACATTTGATGTTAGATGTTAAATATAGATAGAATTCTACCTATTTTATGTTAGAAAGTTGTATTCCCTATAAACAAATTCTTTCTGATTTTTATAATTCAAAAATGCCAAATGATATTATACTTGATGAAAATTAGGAAATGGTCATTTGTATAAGAGATTTTTTACACAATTTTTATGATGCAACTAAGGAATTTCCGGGTGTTTATTACCCAACTAGTTGTCTTGTAGTTAATCAATTATTCATGATTAGTAAATGCTTTGCAAAATATAGAAAAAATCCGCAATTTAGAAGTATTGTTGAAATAATGTAAAATAAATTTAAAAAAAAATATTGGGAGAATATTTCTCCTCTTTAATTGTTTAGCTACAATATTAGATTCTAAGATTAGAAAAGATGGTGTAGATATTTTACTTGAATCATATTGTGAAAATATGAACATTGAAATTGGAAATCAAAGGGAAAAAGTTAATAGTTTATTATTTGAAATGTATAGTTCATATGAATCTAATATGGTAGGGAACTAAAAATCTAAACTTGTACAAGTGCAACTTCTACTTCCAAAACATCTAGTTCCAGTAGTGCGAAAGATAGAGTTTGGTCTTTAATAAGTAGGAGGCAGAAATCTGTTGCCACCTCATCAACAAGTTCATTTACCGAACTTAATTTTTATTTAGAAGCAAATTTTTTTTAGTTTAAGTGATTCCTTCGACTAGAAAGGAATGAATAATTTTAATATTTTAGCCTAGTGGAGTGGACATGAAAAAAATTATTCAGTCCTTGCCGCCATGGCATGTGATCTACTAACCCCTCTGGTGTCTATAGTTTCATCAGAGTTTTGTTTTAGTGCAAGTACTAGGGTGCTGGATGACAAGAGAAGTTGCATGAATGATGAAAGTCTGGAGATGCGCATCTACTTCAAAGATTGGCTAGATGCTTATGACAGATTACAAGACAAAGGAGGGCATGACACTACACCTAATGATTCACTTGAAGTAGATGATCACAATCAAGATGGAGATGAAGGTGGAACTTGAAGAAAAATGATGAAGACAATAATGTATACTCAATAATTTTGTATATTTTTTAAAATTATTATAAATTTTGTTATTCAATTTCATTTAAATTATTTGTTATTTTTTCAATAATGTAATTTTTAATTTCTAATTTGTAATTGTATTATATTTTTTTATATTTTATTCCATTTTGTTAAGTACTTTTTGACCATTATATAGTTCAAGTTTCAAATTTCAATGAAATAAAATTCCTATTTTTCCCAATTTGTTGTCCATTTGGCATTTTGTATTTTGTTAAGTTTTTTTTTCATTTGTTTGTTAGAATTTTTATTTTTTTTTTCAATTTGTTTAATTGTTCCCAAAGGAAAGTTATGTACTTTAGTTTTACCTAACAAAAAAATTAAAAAAAAATCAAAATGTCAAAAAAAAAAAAAACAGTGTGGCCCGATTCGGCCCAGGCTCATAGCACGGCTTGCAGCCCGCTCGGACTAGACCTGCGGATTGGCACAGCATGGCATGGACCCGCACAGGCTCAGGCCGTGAGCCGAGTTGACCCCCCAACTTATCCCAAGAGAGGAAAGCACAACTCGACTCAGCCCGCGTGCCAATACAGCCCGATTTACAGCTCTAACTAAAACCTCCCCTCTCGGCTGTATCAGCCGTTATATCTAACGGATGAGTGAAAAAGACAATACTGTCCAACCAAACTAAATGTTGATTTGTTAGGTTTCTAATTGAATCATAAAGAAAAAAAGGCCATCCTCAACGTTAGAAACACATCAACCTCCATCTGTTGCAATTAATTTGACCGGTAATCTTTTATATGGAACATTAATATCAAATTTTCTGCAATTACCTCTAAAATAAAGAAAAAAATTAAAATACTAGGTTCAATTTATATTTGATTTCTTCATTTTTTAAATATTTTCTTGTGTTTCAAAAAATCTGTTGTTCAAAATTTGAAGAGGGTGGAGAGATCAAAGAGACCAATCAAAGCTTTCACCAAATGGATTCCAAATTGCAAAACCCATATATTTGAGAGACCAATCAAAGCTTTCACCAAATGGATTCCAAATTGCAAAACCCATATATTTGGTTGTGAAGAACTTCATGTTGCCAAAATTTTAGGAATAACTTCACTTGATAATCAACTTTAAGATCTAGAAGCTTAAAAATGCAAGTTGAAACCAAGGTCGGTGATTGCCTCCAGGCCAATCTCCAAGTAAGGGTGTCAACGGACCGGTTTTGGATTGGACCCCACCCAGTCCAAATTCAATTTGGACGAATTGGATGGACCAACAAGATATATTGGATTGAACTAATCCGGTCTAAAATATTTATTAGATTGGATTGGACCTGGTCCGTCTGTAACAAATTTATATTGGGTTGGGTTGGATTAAGCCAATATCTGGTCCATTGATGTAAGATAAGAATATATGTATCAATGGACCGGGTTTGGGTTGAAACCAATCTAAATCAAAATGAATTTGGACAGATTGGACAGTCCAGACATTGAATTGGACCAGTCCAAATTTGTCCAAAACATTCATTGGAATGGATTGGACCTGGTCTATTTATAATGGACTTACATTGGACCAAATTCAGTCCAATCGACACCCCTATCTCCAAGTATATATTTGTCCATGTTAGTGAAGAGGAGAACAAAGAAAGTAGTAAGAGAGAGAAGTAAACAGCAGAAACAAAGATTCCGAAAAGAAAAGTTCTGAAGAAGTCTTTCGCCACTGATGGTGCCACCGTTTGCCGTTAATGCTTGATCTACCACTACATAGTCCCGCCATTTTTATTCGTGGCATTCTCTGCAACATACATTTGGGATGAAATTTCAATGGAGATCCACGGGGGTTTGTTAGATTATTTGGATGGAAACCTAGGAATTAATTGGTTTTGGGTTGGTAGTGAATCTCAAACATCAAGGATGTTTAGGGGGTAGTATCAGGACATAAGCGTCAAATTGTATTCCACTAAGGCACTAACCCAATTCAATATCAGTAGGGCTCACAGTTGTATATAACTATATATTGTCTCTGTCAAAATGTTGGGTGGTCATTGATCAGCCCAAGCATTTACAATTATTCTAATCTATAGAAACTGCTATGGTTAAGGTTGGATTGAAATGTTTTGTTTCCATACAAATGATCAAATAGATCAAAATTGAAAATTCTAATCTAATGGTATTTCAGGATAGAGTTGAAATGACTAAGCATGTGCGTGACGCACATTATCATGGCCTTTGATCTTGATTTGATATTGATCTCAGCTAGCAGTACTTTGGCTCATCACAAAAGCAAAAGGGTTGAACTCAAATGGTGAATGGGATGCCACGTCATGTATCAACAGATTTGACGGAATGCTAAGGAGGGGAAGTGTTTCTCCGATGAAGTCACCATACACTTATACAAGGGAGATCTTAGGCTGCATTTGGCATTCCTTAAACTTATCTCCTTATTGCAAAAAGGAGATAAGTCCTTGAAATAAGGAATGCCAAATGCAGCCTCAGTTCATTTTAAAAATGGAGGGGAGGTCTTAGCCTTTATGGTATAAATGAAGGGAGGTTTAAGTCTTTTACCCTTTTAACCTTTCTACTATTCCCAATGCCGTGTTATCTTGCAGTCCCAACAACCGAAACAAAAGAGGCAGAGTAAATGTATTTACAGCATGCCCAGCCCAAGTAAATAGAATCCTTTTCACAATAAATAAGGCCTTCTGCGGCACCGAGTTTGTTTAATCTGAAGCTAAATTATCATGTACAGATACAGACTGCTAAGAGGTGTATGAATTAATGCACCTAGGGGTCCGCATGGCCAGCTACTGCATCATCACTGGAGGCATATTCATCTTCACTTAGCTCCTCATCACTGGACTTCTCCTCCATGGCAGCTCCAATATCTTCAGGTTTGGCATACTTCTCACAATATTCTGGCCCACGAGCAAGCATACGAGCAAGAAAGACAATGTAGCATAAACTATGTTACGTGTAACAACTTGACCCAAAAAAAAAAGTTAAGTGTAACAAGCTGCATCTGCAGATGAAATGATAAGGTAGACAGGAACATTACTAGTCCAAATAAGTTGAGCAGAGTAATATTCAAAATACAAAGTTCAGTAAGTACCATGGTCAAAAAGAAAAAATAGACTATTCAAAATACAAAGACAAAGTTCAGCAAGTATACCATGGTCAAAAAGCAAAAATAGCCAACTTTCAATTTCGATATTGGTAGAAACTCATCCCAAAAGACGATGGCAATAGACAAAGTTTAATTTAAACATAGTTTGTGAAGAAGGAAGATAGAAACTCCAGTTGCAGGCAACCAAGCACAATACAATGCCCATTTGGGAGGCTTCCACACAGTGGTGTATGGTGTTCCATGAGCTGAGAAACCCGGAACGCCATGAAGCCATTTTGATAAAATTCTAGAAAGCCGAAAGTAGGCTTAATTGAGCCATAAAATCAACTTTCCAGTGAAGCTAGCCCAGGTAGCTTCTCCGAAGCAGCTCACTCGATGCAGAAGCCCTCCCAAATGGGCTCATGGGACACGCTTTCTAGGATGCCCTTACAAGGGGTGTTCACCAATATGCATGATTTCAAAACAAAAATAACTGCAACAAAACAAAAAAATGTTTTTTTCCGATACCAGTGGAAGCCCTTGTGTCACACAATCCATCAAACAACATACCATCACTTCCTGGCAAACAGAAGTAGAAATACATCCTCCATCGTACAATTTATTGGTTTCTGTCAACATGCTCTAGAAAAAGATGTTCAAAGCAGCAACACCTCCACTTTTGTGAATGATAACAGCACATTTGTCGTGTTACCCACATCTCTCCACTGTGACAACTAAAGCATCTAATTGTTTTGCGTTTTGAGAGCTAAACTTAAGACCAGAGGATGTAAAATCCAAGTCCAGAAAAGGGGCAAGAGCTTCTGCCAAATAGGAATTTGTATGTCAACGTGTAACCCCAGAGAAGAAAACAACAAGGCCATCCCCAAAACACATCCAATCCTAACATGCTTGCCCAAATAGCACCTGTTGACATTCAACTTGATGGCCTCGTTGCTGACATTGCACCAACTGGTTCTTGGTTGGAATGGAAAAACATTAACATTTTTCCTCCTTTGAAAAATAGATTTTGTCCCACCCGTTAATAAGGTGTTCCTCCTCAGTGACAAGCCATACTTTCTATTGTTTGATGTCCAACTTCAAACACAATTAAGATGAACTTTCATGGCAGAGGCCTAGGGAATCAAGACTTATCAGGAGTAGGGTGAGCGTACAAATTAGGAAGGGCGCATGCTAGCCATTTACTCTGTGCCATTGGTATTGGTGACTCAATTCAAGCTGAAACATGGGCTGTATCACATGGTCTAAGGTTGGTAAAATACCTAAATCTCAGAAAAAACAAATATTGATTGAGGGAGATTGACAAGTAATTACAAGATGGATAAAAGGAGCTATAGAAGGGCTTAAAATATCAACACTTGATGAGCGAAATTAACAAGCAGGCATCAGAATTGAGGGCATCCTACAATTGGATACTGAAATCTGATAATAATTTAGCTGATGGGCTAGCAAGACAAAGGACCAACAGAAATTAGACATATTGGGGTCCAGGGATTAGTCTCAATGGGTGAAAATTTCTAAGTCTCTCTTCTCTCTAAAGGGAAGCTATTGAAATAGGATAGGTGGCTACCTACAAGGGGTGCTTGGCACTTGCTGTACACTTTCAAATTCTACATCAATAAAATATTAACTGACTGATTAAAAAGAGGAAAATAAAAAACTTTAGCATAACATGTTTAGAGAATGGAAGTAAACTTGATTAGGTACTTGAGCAAGTTTAAGATTACTTGATTACAACTTTCTGAACCTTCAATAAACATCAGATTCTTGCTTGAATAGTCGATGTACTTGAAATTTGAAAAGAGTGAGAACTTCAAACTTGGTGGTTGGCTGTACATCAGGAACAGAAGTGAACAAGCTACACATTGTAGCATCCTCAGTTTGGTATAACCAATTAAATTCTTCAATGCAAATATATTTTATAGTGCCTAACAGGGTGGTTTCCTGCAGAAAAAAGTACGGTTAATCCTTTTTACATTATTTCATACCATAGTTTTCGCGCCTTGCTAGGTGATAGGGGGGCGCCTTGTCGCCTAGGCGATGGATTTTTTAAGTAAAAAACATAGATCCTAGGGTAGTTCCCTAGGTGCCATAACCATATTTTCTTAATAATTATTCATAATTTTCATAAGAAAAGTATAAAGTTCATGTTAAAGTATAGAAAATCAACATATTCATGAGAAGACAAAGAAGACAGAAAAGAAAATTGAAAAAATATAGGGGCTGAACCCTTATTTTTGTTATAGGAAAAGAAGAAAAGAAAAAACAGAAGATATGAAACAAAAATTAGAAGATACGGAAGAAGAAAATGTGTTGATTAGTCAAAATTTTAATTCTACCTTATTGATTCAGGTTTTGAAGTCTTGAGGGTTCAATACAGCATTAGCAATGTTTGTGCTGATTAAACCCTAACAAATAAGAAAATAATAAAAAGAAATTAGTATATAAACACACAAAATGAATATTTTAGTTTAATAATGTTTATTTTATAATTATAATCTCAAAAAATAAAGAATAAAAAAGCATTTTATAATAGAATGTACAAAACTGCTTGGCATTTAGGCAAGGCAAGCCTCCAAGGGCACCTTGTCGCCTTGACAACTATGTTTCATACTTTTAACCAATGAAATACGATTGCTATACTTACCCTTTCTCCCATTTCACTCCCACCCACATCTCCTTCATTTTCCCCCATGTACTGCTTTCCACTCCAAAGTCCAAATCATGACCAAACCTAAGAAGCTGTGGACCAAAAAGCTATAAGAACTACAGTTTTGGCGAGACTCTCAGAACTTGACATCTATTGAATACTCAAAGCATCATGACCCACCATTGGATGATTCCTATTTAATAGAGGGCTTACACCTAGAAGAAGAAAACAACTTGACTACAACTTCAAGTCATATGGTTTACCTAATTTAGAGCTTAGTGAGAGTTTTGGTAGAATGTTTTCACATCCAATGTTTATGCGCAAGATAATAAGTTGGTAACTTGGATCATATTTATAGCTATTTTTGCCTAATTAATATTTAAATTACTAACAAATTACCAAACAGTAAAAATGAAAAATATAAGAATGGAAAATAGATAGCTTCTATTAGATTTAAGCTTAGTAAACAGGATTCATGTAGCCAATCCCATATAGTTGGGATAAGTCTTAGATGAGATTGATGATGAAAATTTGACATATGTGAAAATTTTCTCATTTTTGTAATTTAACAAATGTAGGTAGAAATCAAAATCTAATTAAAGCTGCACATAGTAAATCTGAGAAAAATATTAAATCATCAAGTTCCATACAAATGTATCATGGCCAAAATCAATTGCTTTCAGGGCTATCATTATTGCAAATATAGGGAAAACTATAGTAAATGAGTTTCCCATAAGTCCATCTTAATATTACTGATTTAGAGAACATTGAATGTTGAGAAGAAAACTACCTTTGACTTTTTGCTCATAAGCAGCCCGATCACGCATCATCAAAGCTGCAGCATCTCCATTCAATGGATCTGATGGGTTCGGATACAAAAGAAGTTGTGGCAAGAACACTTCAAATACATTTACCAGATCTGAGAAACATTGGCATTAACATCTGAATACAATTGCATCAATCCATTAAATTGAAAGACAACAACAATTCCAAATTCAGTGCTTATGTAAAGCCATGACAATCTTATGCACACATAATAAAACAAGTTATTGAATTAGATTTTTTTACCAAACATGGGGCTCCAGGTCTGGTTGATTACATCCAAGCAAACTGACCCTGACCTGAAATTAAAACAACCATGAAAAACAGATGCACAAAGTGGTTAACCTTAACCTAATGGGTTTTGTAAACTACCTGCAGAAAATACTTAATGAAGAAGACATTGGAAAAAATGCAATCACCTAGTTATTACTCACATTTCATCTACATTTGGGTGGTAAATCTTGTTAACAAAACCAATTGAAGGAGATTTATAGGGATAAGCATCCGGGAGCTCCACTCTGATCCTCCACACACCTCCATGGTAAGGACCTTTCACAATCCATATAAGAAATAATAATATCAATACAAACAAATTGCTAGGAATCTTCACAAAAGAAGTATTGCAATCTACAACTAATTGTTGCGAAGTTACTTATGATTATGAAATGGCAATGAATGTGAGGCCGATTCGACTAAATAGCAATGTTGAGAACTGAAGCAGTTAACAGTAACCAAAACAAAGAAAAAAAAAAGACAAATGGCTAAAATGATTTCTAGGTTTACACTAGAAACTGAGAAAATATGATAAGCAGAAAACGAGCTCAAAGAGACGCTCAGAAAAGTGAATATTTTACTTTTAATTTCATCTGAACAGAAAAGAAATATATTGTTGTGAGAACCCATGGAAAAAAAAAGGGTTAAATCAAGGAATTAGAATTGAAACCCCACATCAGACCCTACGGCATAAAATATAAATTAATTCCGAAAATTACAAAAAAAAAAAATGAAGGGGAAGTAGTGAAATAGTAAAATAATCATTAACTACTATCTATCTTCCAACCAGAATCGAGAGGCAATGCGGGGTTTGAAGTACTACTAATAGTCAACACGATTGAAACAGAGAAAATAATAATAAACTCAAAATAACATAAACCGATAAAAGCAAACATACTAAAAAGTTCATATATTTTTATCTACACGAATTAAGGCGAAAAATAATTATATATACGAGGAGAAAACATATGGGCATGGAAGATTTACTGTCACTGGGTCCATTAAAATCGACATGGAACTCTTGCATGCCATCGTTGATCATCTCTACCTTGTAATCACTCATCATCCTAACGGAATAAACAAACAAAAGCAGAGTCAAAATTACCAGCAAAGAAAAAATAAAACAGGATTGAATATGAAAATTAAAATTTTTACAGTTTCATGAGGTCCATCTCTCTGCGTTTGCTTGGGGAAGACATTTTGTTATTATTAATCCCTCTTCTTTGGTGGCTTCAGAGAAATGTATAAATAGGTGAAAAAAGAGAGAGTTTTTTAGCAGCAGAGACCAAGATACAGAAGCAAAGCGGTTCAGAGTTGAGACAGAATGACAGGAAAATGAGGACATGTGAAGAGAATTTCAATTTATATAATATTGTCCTACACGACTCGTCCAGCAATAGCGACATCCAAGCACCACCCAGCCCTAAAATTTCAAAGGATAAAAGAAATTATTTTTTATTTTTTTATAATAATATAAATATAGGAATAAGTAGACTGCACTCCTTGAAAAATAATTTTCTGTCGTCTGATCCTGCCCCCACCAGTCAACAGTTAACAGTCACCACTCTCATAAATCATTAGTGGAAGCTGTTTAGCACCCAATAGGAAGTGTTTTATAAAGCCAAACCTCCCAATATCTTCCATTAATGCTACACCGTTGGATGAGCATCACCTCGAATAGTCTGGAGTCGGCAAATTACAGCCCGATCAATCTGAATTTCGACCAAATAGCCCAAGCCCATGCATTGTGTTGCGTACGAATTCTGCTAGTCTCAGGAAATCCCTACCCCTCGATCAAGTAATTTTGTGGGTTCGAGTATAAATAATATGATCACATGCGAATTTTAATGAGTTCAAAATCGTGTATTTTGTATTATTTTGTATGTATTTTCACTTTATATATTTGTATTTGTACTCATTACTCGAATTCGATCCATTTATAATGCTACAGCTCGGTTCGAGACTGTTTTATAAGGTTCGAGTCAAAATCTTGGCTTAGCTCGAGTAAAAAATTCATAAGCTCGAGTTCGATTTTGAGAAAAATATTTTATAAAAATAAAAAATTATAAATATAAATATTTTTTATTTGATATTTAAAAATTTAAGAATTATAATATTTTTATTATATATATATATATATATTATTTTCTATAATTTTATTATTATATATATATATATTCGAGCCGGCTCGCAAGCCTCACGTGCAGAGCACTAGTAGGCTCGAGTTCGAGCTCGAACTCTGATGATGCACGATCTGGCCGGTCTTAGCTGTCGATGATCTTGCCTCTGAACTGAGTAACAGGGACCTGAAACGGGAGGAGAAGAGAAGCTCC